CACCAGTGTGGGAAGGCGGGCCGGGCCAGAGCTCTGGCTTGTGGGAAGGCGGGAGGCCTGGCTGGTGGGGCCTGTGCCCTGGGAGGGGTTGCTAGAACCCGCAGGGGGAGGGAGGTGCGGTGGGCCCACCTCTGTCGCTCCGCTCCACTGCTGACCTGCTGACCGGGGGGCCTGTCCCTGCCCGGCTCTGAGTTGACTTCCGCGGGGAGACGCGAGGCGGTCCGGAGAGCGGGGGCTTAGACCGTGTGCCTCTTTTCTTCTGGACCCCAGTTGCAGCCTGGCCTGGACCTGCCGGCCCTGGGCGGCCGCCCTGAAGGCAGGGTGGGGGCAGGCGGTGTCCTGGCAGGGGCTCGGTTGTGTGGGAGGTACTGAGGGGGCCCTGCGGGGGCCTCCGGGCCTAGGGCTCAGTCTGACTCTGGGATGGGCTGGGGACACTGAGCGGAGCCCTGCCTCCCCAGCCAGCTGCCTCCCTGCCTCAGAACCGGCCCCTCCACCTCCACCTTGCCGTGAGTCCGAGCAGATCCCTCTGGCCGCATGCTCCCTCAGTCCTCATGATTGCCCCCTGCCCCGCCCCCTCCCAGCAGATACTTGGGGTTCGGGTTTGGGAGAATACGGAGTCAGAGAGCTCATCCCCAACCTCAAGAGGAAACAGTCGGTGGGGGTCGGGGGGGGGCGGGGAGAGGAGGGGTCTGTCTCCTTTCTGGAGCCTTCCTGCTCCAGGCTCCAGGCAATCAAGTAACCTGGAGGCCTAGAGAATGGAGCTGATGACCTCAAACCTCGAGTTTTCTCCTTTAAAGCGTGTCTGTGTTCTGCGTTTGGTGAAGGGTCACGGTTGGGGTGGACCAGGAGGAAGGGCTGATTTTGAACGGGGTGGGGGGGGACTTTGGCCTCCCCCCTCACATCTCTTCTTGACCTTTGAGCCCCTTTCCTCCAGCCGGCACAGTTGCCCCCCCCCCACCCCGCCTTTGCTGACTCCCCGGTGCACCCCCCCATGGCAGGCCTGTGGGGCCCGGACTGACTGGGTGGAGACAGGTGTCCTGGCCCAGCTGTTCCCTCTTGTTTCTCCCACCTGTCAGCCCAGGGGGGGAAGGGGTGAGGGGCTGGCCGGCAGGGGAGGGTAGGAACCCCTCTGCCCCCTGGGTGGGGGTGGGTCCCAGTGGTAAAGTGTGGCAGAAGGGTTGAGAGTGGACAACTGGCCGGACTTCCCCCCGCTCAGAGGAAGGATTGCACCAGATCACAGGCAGAGAAAGCTGGTCGACAGCCAGGGGTCCTGGCCGGCGAGCAGAGGGTCTTTGCACAGAACCTTCACGCAAGGGCGGGATGCGGGGTAGCGGGGAGGGGTGCGACTTGAATGTGGGGTCAAGTGTTTGCATAGCTGTGTGGAGGTACCCCCCTCCACCCGCCGGGCCCCTTCCATCTGGCTGGGCATCTTAGCCCCACCTGGCACCTTTCCTGAAAGCAGCAAGCTAATCCTGTAAGAGCTGCCTGGCTGGCCGCCTCAGCAGGCCCACGCAGCCGCACTGCCCGCCCTCCCCTGCCAGGGGCTTAGAGGACTGTCCTTCCAGTCCGGAGGAGACCCAGCCGCCGCCCTGAGCGGCCCCTTTAAATCCCCCGTGGCTCCCTGAGGTCATGATGTCTCTAGGAGGATTTGCCTTCTCTGATTGGATTGGCCTCTTTCGGCCCGGTGTGTACTGTGACTGTAGGTGGACAGTCACATTCTGACCCCCACCTTGCCCGTCATCAGGATGGGTCCCACCCGGTGTGAGGGAGGGCCCAGGCCTCGGGCCTTCTCCTCCTCTCTTCTGGCCCCCGGGCTCTGGCAGTCAGGGCCCAGAGCCCCTCCGTCTGCTTCAGCCGGGCCCCAGCCCTGTGGTTGGGAAGGAAAGATCTAACCGCTTTAAACAAGGGACCAGGCGCCGCCCTGGAAGAGAGTGCCCTTCCGAGACTGTCCCCCGCTCGCTTTCCTCCACTGTTTCCTTTTTAGCCTGCTCTCCCTTTGGTCGGGGGCCTCCAGTCCATAGTTACCCCACGCCCTCATTTCCACGGGAAGTCCCTCCCCTGGTCTAACCATCAGCCCACCCGTCTGCTATGGCAGGCGGCCCAGACACGACACCGGTGGCGTTATGCTCACCCAACGGCTCCCAAGCTGACCCGCCCCCAAGGCCCCAGCTGCCACTTTCACTTCTGTCTCCTGAGACCCCAGAGGGAAGTTGGGTGGGGAGGTGGAAGGTGACACACTAACCGTCCCAACCGCTTCATCTGGCCAGGGGCCCTTGTCCACCACTCTCCTCTAGGCGACCGAAGCGGCTTTAGGTTCCAGTGGAAGGATCGGCCACTGTGGGAGGGAAGGAGGTTAGATGGCAGGAAGGACTGCCCCAGGATAGGAGGCCACTGCTGGGCTTCCCGTGTTTCAGAGGGCAGGGCTGGAAGCATCGGCACCGTAACTGGACAGGCAGAGGTCAGCTTGTCCGACCTCCTCAGGGCAGGCAGGGGACCGGTGGCCCTGGGGCTCCCGTCGGTTGGAGTGGTGTACTAGGTCCCCATGCTCTCCTGTACGTTTAACCACTGCCCGTGCTTGGCTGGGTGACTTTTCTTTTTAAGCTTATTTATTTTGAGCGAGTGAGCGAGAGAGAGAGAGAGAGAGAACACAGGTGGGGAAGGGCAGAGAGAGGGAGGCAGAGAGAGAGAGTCCCAAGCAGGCTCAGTGCTGTCCGTGCAGAGCACGGTGTGGGGCTCAAACCCATGAACTGTGAGACCGTGACCCGAGCCAAAGCCAGACATTTAACCGACTGAGCCACCCAGGTGCCCCTGGGTGACTTCTAACAAAGCAAACTTGAGCCCCAGAGACTATTTTGAGGCCAAAACTTCAGCCCTGGGAAGTCCTCTCGGTAGCTTTGCATCTGTCTTGCCTGCTGCGCTGGGCCTCCCCCTCTCGTTTGGAGTGTTGGAAATGGATTTTAGAAATAAGGACCGGGGCGGAAGGAAAGGACAGCCCGCCGCATCCTTCTGCTGCCCCAGCCTTGGGGCCTTGGTGCTCAGCCGTGGGGCAGGGCTTTTCTCCTGGGGAGCCCCGGGCGGCCGTGCGGCGGGCACGCTTCACTGCCCGAGTCTCTCCTGCTACAGCCCTCACTCCTCACTACACCTGCTCCCTTGTCCTCACCTGGACAGGCACCTGGGCACAAGTGGGGGACCCTGTTGCCTGAGAACTTAGGACCACCAGGATTATTGATCAATCCAGGAGTGCCTTCTGGAGGAGAAAGATGGCACTGGAGGTCTGAGGTACCAGGAACGCCGTCCGAAGTGCCTAGGGGTGGGGGGGGGGGGGGGGGTGGCCGCAGTTCCTGGAATGGGAAGTTGAGCCCAGATGGAATAAGGTCAGAGACACTATGCAAATCCTCATGCAAATGAGTGGTAGTGAGTCATTCCTGATCAGTCCGCCCCGGCAGAGTGTGAAGCAAGGCTCAGGCTCGGGTTCCAGAACTGACCCCACTTATGACCATGACCGTGACCTTGGGCCAGTCATTTCTTAGTAATCAAGCAGTAGGACCCCAAGCCCTGGGTCCGATAGGCATTCCAGGTGTGCTTGGGCAGTGCGGTAGCTGACTCTCGGCTGCCAGGGCCCTGGTGTCCCCTCCTGGCGTGCCCTCCTCGTACCCACCCTGGCTGACCCTGGGCCTCCATCGACCCTCGCCATCTGTTGTGAGGATGACTGTTCAGAAAACACCTTCCCCCTTTATCAGCCCCATCCCTACACTCTTCTGGCCTCCACGCTGTCCTTCCCTCCAAGCTGGAGGACAGTGGACCCAACCGGGCCATCTCTTCTGCTACGTCCCCATGGAATAAGCCACTCCGACCTCCCTTTTGGGCCTCTCCAAAGGGCACGGGAACCAAATGTCCTGGCTGGAAGGGCACTCAGGTGCCTAGTCCCTGCCACCCACCCATTGTACCGGCCAGCGGTGTAAAGCCTGGAGGGGGCAGTGACTTCTTCAAGGTCACGCTGCGATTTAGGGTCAGAGCAGGGACTAGAACCCAGGCATCCAGAATCCCTGTGTCCATAGACCCCATGCCTCCCTGGGCTGTTGATTGCCCAACCGCACCCACCCCTGTTCTGCTAAGATTCAGTCTCCTGTGACCCCCAGCTTCTTCCTGAGATCAGACTGGGTGGCTCCAGAAACTGGTGAGGAACTGGGTCCTCGGAGCCAGCCCAGAGGCCTCCGGGGGAAGGCCAGAGCTGCGGTGGGCGGTGCTGGAGCCTGGGGGGTGGGCTGGCCGCTGCCTGTGTGGGAGCTGGACACCGACAGCTGCCGCAGGAAGGATGGGAGCTAGACTTCAGGAAGGACAGGCTGGGGGAAGCAGCGGAGGAGGCTCGGGAGACGGACCCTCACTGGAGAGGCATCTCCTGGGCAGAGAACAGGATGACCCCATCCCGGGAGATTTGCCCAGCGGGAAAGCCTGGGGTGGGGCGCGGGAGAGGTGTCCAGCGGAAGCCGCGGGGAGGGCGCCCGGGGAGCGGCCACTCCGGTCGGTGCTCCTCTGGCGAGTCCATTCCTGTCCCTTCAGCCCGGGCTGCAGAGCCTGTTTCCACTTGCCCTCCTGGGGCGCCTAGGACCCGAGACCACCGGTGCCCGGGGTCCAGCTTTCCCCGGACCGCTGCTCCCCCTCCCCCCAGCCTGCCAGCCCGCCCCCAGGTCCCTGTCGGTGAGTTAAAATTAGCTCAGTGCCCAGGCTAAAAATAGCCCCTGCCCAACCCTGAGGCTGCCGGGCTGGGGGAGGGGAGATCCCGAGGGAGGGGAAGATGGTGGGAACCGGGGGTTTGGGAATCGAGCCTGCCAAACAGAACTTTGAGGGGAGGAGGCTAGGGACTGGACGGGCATCGCCTGTGCCTTTGAAAGCAGCCGCTGGAGCCCTGGGTTGGACGAAGAGGCTGCCCTGGCTGGGGGAGGGGCGGGACCGAAGAGGGACACCAGAGAGGAGCAGGGGAGCAGTGAGGGGAGCCGGCTGGGGGCGTGAGAACTGGGCACTGCCCCCCGCTGCTGGCAACTTCGGAGTTTGCGGAGGAAGGCTCCCTGTGTGTCCCCCAGGGGCCCCGAGCCCCTGCACCCTCTCGCTGTTTGGGGCCGTCACTGGGCTCACCTGCCCACCGTACCTTCCAGAGGGCACTTCCACATGTCCCTGCTTGGGGGGAAGAGGGCTGCAGGGCCAAGAGGGTGGCCAGGAGGGCTGTAAGCTCCAGGTCGGGGTGGGAACAGAGATGGTCCCCAGGGGGACCCACAGGGCTCCTGGGCCTCGTGTTCACCTCTGCCCGCCGTGGGGGCCTGCCCGCCCTCAGGAGCCCAGATGCCCCATCCCAGCGGGGTCTGGGCCCAGTCCAGGCCCCTAGGGCCTGCTTGCCTCGCCCTGCCCTTGCCCTGGGTGGGACCTGCCCTTCCCTGGCCCGTCTCTTGGCTGGACTGCAAGTATTCGGAGGGCAGGCCTGGCGGCCCATCCCCTTGTGCCCACGCACCCAGCCCCGCTCCGGGGCGCTGTTGAGCCTGCTTCTGTTGTCTGCCCGCTTCTCCGAGTCTGGGCTCCAGCCTCGCCCTCTGTCCTCTGGCCCTCTGCCCCACACTTGGCCTTCCTCTTGGCCTCTCTGCCTCTTTTTTCGCATCTGGGTGTCTGTCCCCTTCTCCCACCCCCCCACTCTGTGTCTGCCTCACCCACGCCTCCTCCCTCGTTAGTGAGCAGGCTGCTTGAGGCCGCCTGACTGTGGGGGTGACAGGTGGATTGGATTGTCACCCCCTCCCCCAGTGCCTGCTGCTTATTTCATGCCCTGCAGCCCAGCCACGGGGAAGGGGCGGGAGGAGGGATGACAGCTGTCTCCAGCGCCTCATGCCTTCCCTTCCAGTCCACAGCCTGAAGCCTGGAGCAGCCTGGGAGGAAGGGTTGGAGGGCCTGCCTAATGAGAGCTGCCTTCCTTGCCGTGCGAAGCCCAGTGCTCTGTGATGGGAGGCCACTCGCTCAGCCTCTCTGGGCCTCTGCTCCATTTTGACCTGCACCGGTACGGCAGCTCTGGAGGCAGGCAGATAGGGGCCAAGGGCAGGCAGATGTGGGCGGGAGGCTATGGGGGTCGCGAGGAGGCAGGAGAGGGGCTGGAGGCTGGCTGCTGGTAGGTACTTCTGGGCTCCCCAGGAAGGCCGGCCCTGCCACGGCTGCCCTGACCGCTCCCCCCAACTCTCCCCACTGGCCCCAGGCCACCCTCACACAGGAACTGAGATAGCATCATTCTGAAACCCGAGAATGGTTTGAACATTGCTCAGGTACCAAGAGGTGTTAAATTGGGGGAGGCAGGGGCCTGTTTTTTTCTCCCTTGGCCCTTCCAGACTGAGACCCCCTTTGGGGTGCGTTTTGCATATTGTTTGCACCTTGTTTGCATGCAGATACAACCCTGTGGCTTCCCATTGGGTCTGGGTCCCGGCTTGGGCCTGGACGAATGTCTGTCTGTGGGGTCCTTCTGGATTTCCTACCATCTCTGGTTCCCTTAGCCCCTCCTTCTCGTCTGGGGTGTTGTCAGATGAGCTCCTGCCCTGCGTCCCTCTCTGTTCTCCATTTGCTAAGGCTTCTCTGCGGCCACCCTTCCCCAAAGAAGGTGGGTCTGTGCCCGCCTCCCCAGGGCTCAGCCCAGCTGCCACCCTCCCCCTCTGCTCTTTCTGTCCTCGCTCCCCACCCCCAGGAGGCCCACCCTGCCCAGCTCGGTCCTGCCAGCACTGCCTCGAGTGGGAGAAGCAGAAGCAGCAGCGGCCGGAGCCTTCCAAGGGCTGCTTTTGGTGACCCAGATGCTGCCAGCCTGAGGAGTCCTGGCTGTGGCCTGAGGTCAGGCGGGCCCTGGGGCCACTGGAGCCGGAAGGCCATCCTGGCCAACCCCTTGTCTCCTTGGCGTCTTGCTAGGCCCCCTCAAGCTCTGGGCTCCAGGAGAAACAGCCAAAAGCCAGGTCTGGGAGGGCTTCGTAGAGGAGAAGGCCAGAGAGGAGAAGAGGCCCAGGCCGGGCCAGGGAGAAAAGGTACACATCTGGAGAACAGATGCCCAGGCCTCTGGCTCCCGGCAGTTGGTGAGGTAATCAGGCAGAGGGCTCATTAAGGCGGTCCAGGTGTTCATTAGGCTCTTCCTAATTGAGTAGGAGGGAAGCAGGACAGGATGGGCCTCCGCACCTCGGGAAGGGTCTGTATAGGGTCCTTTGTGCCCACCCAGGCCCCAGCGCCCTTCTTCCAAAGTGTGTGCCCAGTTCCTCTCCTCGCCCCAGGGCTTTCAGACTGCGGCAGCATAGAAGGGATAGACAGGATGGAAGGGGAAAGACATTATTACAGACAGCCTGCTCTGTAGGAGGGCTCCTGGTTAGATAGGAGGAAGGACTGCCGATTCAGGGGCATCTCGTGCTCTGGCAGGTGTTGTTGGCACAGAGGTAGGGGCGGCAGTGGGCACGGGGCCCTGGGGACATGGGCGGTTGGTTATAGAGGTGCTTGGGGTACCTTGGCAGAGACCGGGGATGGATGGAGCCTGGTCTGTTCATCCCTGACTCCCCTCTGCCGGAGGACGCTCAGGGGGTCTCTGGCTTCCCTGTCTTCTCAGCCCTGATCCCTCTCACATCCCAGCTCCCCCAGCATGAAGCGGGGGTGGGGGGGTGGTGTAGGAGATCAGCCAGGGAGCTGGTTGCCAGGCGACAGTTGCCTAAGCAACCCCATCCATGTGCTCAGGGCTGCTTCTTAGAAGACTTTAGAGTCTCACCCTCTGCACCAGCCGGAGGGCCGGGAGAGTTGAGGCCTGGAGAGGCCGGCGTGGTTGGAGGGTAGACGGTATCCAAATGTGCGAGTTCGGGGCGGTTGGGGGAAGAAAGGTTCCGCCCCCACGGAGGACAGAGGGAAAGGAGCCGGTCCCGCAATAGGACCGACCGAAGTCAGGCCACGAGGAGCACTTCTCACAGGGTCACAGCAGTGACAGAATCTGCCCTTTCAGCAGACATTTCCTGAGCTGCTCCTTCCAGGGGTGGAGTAGTGGAAAGGGCAGATGTGGGTCCTGCCCTCACGAAGCCCCAGCAACTTGGGAGCCAGGCATGAAACGGAAGCGCAGACTTGGACTAACGGACGGTCGTGACGAGCGCTAGAAGGGAAGGAACAGGGCGCCCCGAGGACCGCAGGAACAAGGTCAGGCTGCAGGGGGTCGTGAGAGCAAACACAGGGTTCTCTCTCCACTTGGAGGAGGAGGCAGAATTGGCCATAAGCTGATGGAGGCCGCGTCTCCGCGAGAACCTGCTTACGCACAAAAGGTGGTGAGAGGGAGATGGGAACAGGGGTGCTGGAGGGAAGGTGGGTGCTCTGAGCCACAGAAGTGCAGCAGTGACAGCATTAACCAGTCTAGATTGGGGTTTTCATGGCCAGGCCCCAGAATCTAGTTCAAAAAGCCGTCGTCTTCGCCCCCTTGTCCTCCGCGTCCCCTCCCCACCCTTCTGCCACGCCCAGATCACCGGCTCCGGAAGACACAGCCTTGGGGTCGCACGGGGAAGCAGCCTAGCTGTAACCCTTGGGCAGGGGCCTTTGAGGTGGGGCTTTGGCTGAGACGGGCATCAGAGGCAAAGAATGGGGTGTCTGTTGGGCCCCCTGGGCTGTGTGGGTGTTGTCCAAGGGGGGCAAGAAGGGGGGCAGTAGGAGGCCCAGGGCCCGTGGAGCACCTTGAGGGCAAGGAAGAGAGGAAGAGGTTCTGGGACCCATCTCTGGGGCGAGAGAGGGGTGCAGGACCCCTCTAGCTGTTTCCTGAAGGTCTCAGGACAGAGCAGAAACTCTCTTTGAGGCTGGGCTGGAGAAGGATGGGAAGAGGCATCCCTGGCTCCTCCCAAGCCCTCCGATCCCCTCCTTCCCTGCCCTCCGTGGCCGAGATGCCGGCAAGGGTGAACTTTGGTTTCTGCTCTGGCACCTTGGGGGCCACGGCTGAGAGGGGCTGGAAAGGCTCCAGGAAAACTCAGCAGCCACTGGAAATGGGGGTTGGGGAGGGGGTTCCTAAGTACAGGCATGCCTGTCACCTCTGCCCAGGCCGGGGGGAATTGAGAACCCACCTCCCTGGACTCTGCAGTGGGGTCTCTGCCTGGGGCTCTATGGGGGGGAACCTCTGGAGGGGAGGCCTGGATTCCTAAGACCTAATCAGAGTGGCCGCAGGACGCACGGGCCTCGTGCTCACTGCCCGCTTGCTCGGTGTCCTGGAAGGCTCCGCCCCCAGTTCTCCTGGAATCACAGAGCTGAAGGGGTCCAGGGGTCGTCAGCTGCCTCCACCCCACCCAGGGCCCTTCCAGGCCCCAAGGGCTCACCCAGCCTGTTAGGGCACCAGCCTCTCCCACACCCGAGAGCGCGTACCTTTTCTGGGTCAGGCTGGGTTTCCATCCCCGCGCCCCCTCCCGTCCTGGAAGGGCTCCGTGTCCCGTCCTCCGTCCTGGCTGTGGAACTGGGGCTCCTCACCCGTGGGCCATGACTGGTTTATGGGCGTGCGAGATGGGGCGCCCTCTTCCCGGTGCCTGCCCCGGCCTCCTCCATGCACACCCGCGGCTGTGAACCTGGGTTCTAGACGTGGCCCGCTCCTCCAGAGCAGGACTCGGCACACTGTGACCTCTGGGCCCTATCTGACCCGCGCCTGTTGTTATAAATCTGGTTTTGCTGGAGCTCAGCCACGCGTATTTGTTTATGTGTCGTCTGCCGCTGCTTTCCCGCCACGGTGGTGGTCAAGTAGTTACAACAGAGCCATGTGGCCTGTGAGGCCTAAAGTAGTTGTTAGCTGTCCCTTTACGGAAAAAGTTTGCAGACCTCTGCTCTAGATTGGGGGGCGGTGGTCACGTATTGACTCATTTTAAGCAGCAGAACCCTTTCTTCTAACGAAACTCGTAGGCCGAGGCCCACCGAGTAGTGCCGATGGGTGTGGAGCAACCCCTGGCAGAGGGGAGACAGCCCTCCCAGCCGCCCCAGCCCCGTCGGGCACTCCAGGCTCCGGGGTTCCGTGAGGCTGGTGCGAGGACCAGCGCTCTAGCCCAGCTCTGCTGTGTTCCGGACCGGGGGGCCCAGAGCCCTGCCGTCTTGGCAGGTGCACCGTGGTAGCCGCTCACGGCCTCAGCAGGTGCCCTCTGCCCACCGGGCTCCAGGACTGCAAGTGCCGTTCTAGGCCAGAGGGGCAGCCGGCGAACCCCGATGTCTCTATTCTGGGCAGGGTCCGGGGAGAGGAAGGGGTGCAGGGCGTCCTCCAAGACCCAGAGCCCTGGACACCGGCTCTGTGTGATCTCGAACCGGAGCATGGCAGGGCTGGTATGGACAGAGCCTGGACCGGAGCCTGGGCCCTGGGTGCGAGTTCCAGCTGGTGCCTGGCTGCGGCATGCCGTCGTCCCCTCAGGACATCACCATTTCCTCATTCTGAGGATGGGGCTGGGCGCTGCCCAGCCTCCCCCGGGGGTGCTGTGAGCCTGGCCTGCGTGCCTGTGTGCTGGCACTCGCCGGGCTGACAGCCGTCTCCTGGCCCTCCTCTCCCAGGAGGCTGTGCAGAAGGTGTCCTGCAGACCATGAACTGAGCCCTGGTCCCAGGCCGTTCATGAGCACAGTGTAAGGCGTGCCGAGACCCGCCACCCAGCGATCCCCTCCCCTCCCTAGCACTGAGGATCCCCGGAGAAGATGGGGAGGAAAAAGATTCAGATCCAGCGAATCACTGATGAGCGGAACCGACAGGTGAGGAGGTCTTGGAGCCACGTAGAGTGGGGTGAGGAGGGCAGGGAGCTGGCCTCTGCCTCCACTCCTTCCCGCCAGTCCAAGAGGGCTTCCTGGAGGAGGGGGCCTCTGGAGGCTATCATGGAAGGGGAAGGACTGAGTTGGGAGGAGAGGAGCCCCCACCTCCCGCAGCTCTTGGAACCCTGTGTCTCAGAACTCTGAGGCTCCTCTGTTGCTGCAAGCACGTGGACCTGTGCCCCCCACTGCCCACCCAGGAGCCATACCCAAGCCTCAGGCCATCCCTGGGCACACCCCCTTTTCCCCAAGAGGAATTGTTCCCCTCCTCCTACTCCAGGGGAGGAGCTGGGAAGCCCTTCTGTTCTCCTTCCCTGACCTCCTTATAGCCCCCAGCACAGAGGTGTGGCGTTCTGTGCGTCCACACCCTCTCCCTTCAGCCAGTCGGCTCTAGGCTCTCCTTCTCGGCCCTGTGTTGGCAGAGAGGCGCTGGCCTGTTTCTTCCCCGGGGCCAGGGGCTCCTGGGCGGGCTTTGACTGAGCCAGACCTGGCCACCCCCCTCCCCGCCACCTGCAGGTGACGTTCACCAAGCGCAAGTTCGGGCTGATGAAGAAGGCGTACGAGCTGAGCGTGCTCTGTGACTGCGAGATCGCGCTCATCATCTTCAACCACTCCAACAAGCTGTTCCAGTATGCCAGCACCGACATGGACAAGGTGCTGCTCAAGTACACGGAGTACAACGAGCCGCACGAGAGCCGCACCAACGCCGACATCATCGAGGTGGGCCCGCGCGCGCGCCTGCCCCGCCCCTGGCGGCCCCTCGCCCGTGGGACCCACGTCCTCTCTCGCGCTCGCTCGAGCCCAGGCCGGGGGAGGCGGGCGGGACCGGGATGTCCACGTCGGGTGGGGGCCGCCCGCCCGGCCTCTCCGAGTTCACGCTCAACTCGTTGGGCTCTGCTCTGGCTTCCCGGGCTCGCTCGCTCGCTCGCTCTCTCCTCCGTCTTTGGGCTGCTCCTGCTTCCCAGTCTTCTGCCTTTGTCTCCCTCCTTGTTTCTGTCTCCCCTGCTCCGCCGCGGCCCCTCTGTGGGTCCCTGTGGCGCAATTTTCCGTTTCACAAAGAGCCAGTGTTGCGAGCCGTCCAAGGACACGGGCTTTGGGATCCAGCTGTGGCCCTGACCGGCCACACGGCCTTGGGTGGGTCAGCCTCCCAGGGCCTCGGATCCTGCCACGCTCAGGTGCCCTCCCAGGGCACAGAGCTGCCAGTGAAGAGGTGCCTGGAAGCCACGGGCTTGCCTTCCCCGAGAGGGACTTTAATTCCGAGATGGGGAGGAAATTGCCTTAGTTTTCTGTTCGAGAAAACAGGTTTGGTCTAGGATGGAACATTTACACTCGCTATTGACTTTAAAGACAAACCACATCTGTGAAGATGTTCTGACAGGAAGGCGGCAGCCCTGGGGTCTACTCCAGGCCTACCGGGCGTGCCCCGACCTCGTGTGGGCACGTGCGAGGAGCCCCCGGCCTCTGGGCAAGGACGGCACTCGGGCGTCGCATCGTAGGGGCTCAAGAGACGCTGCTTTCCTCTTGGCCTTTCTCCCCCTCCTTCCTCTCCCTCCGTCTCCCTCTCTGCTTCCCTCCCAGAGCCCAGGGGCCACGCGGGGCACCACCAGCCCTGGCTGCCGTCCCCCCGTGGCGCTTCCTTAGGGCCCCTCCCCACCTGCCACCCTGGAGGGAGGGGTCTGTGCCAAGTGCATGCCGCATTCTGGGGTAGAGCACGCCCCCCCCAGCACGCGTTCACACCCCCCACCCCGGGGTGGGGTTGGCCGCCCCCCCTCCCCCCAGCTGACACAGTGGTGCGCTTGCAGACCCTGAGGAAGAAGGGCTTCAACGGCTGTGACAGCCCGGAGCCCGACGGGGAGGACTCGCTGGAGCAGAGCCCCCTGCTGGAGGACAAGTACCGACGCGCCAGCGAGGAGCTGGACGGGCTCTTCCGGCGCTACGGGGTGAGCCCCACTCACTGTCTCCCTGTCGGCCCCTCCGGCCCCCCCCCCAGGCGCTGCACAAGAAACACAGGGAATGTGAGAGCCCTGAGGTGGACGAGGTGTTTGCCCTGACCCCCCAGACGGAGGAGAAGTATAAAAAGATAGACGAGGAGTTTGATAAAATGATGCAGAGTTATAGACTGGCCGTGAGTAGTCGCGTGGAGGAACGCCTGTCCGTGCTGCATGGTGTGGCTTCGCGCCGGCCCTCGGCTGCCCCCGACGGACGCCCGCCCTGCGCCGTGGGGGGCGTCGGTCGCCCCCGAGCAGCCGCTGACCTTGCTTGTGAAAACCCCGTGACCCTTGCCGAGACGCGTGTCGTGTCGGACGCAGCACAAGCGGGAGAGGCCTGGAGCGTCCCTCTGCCCGGCGAGGCGTGTGTAGATGACGTGAGGGCTTCAGCCAACAGGAAGTAGGGACCGTGCTCCTTGTCCACGGCGCCGGAGGGCAGGGACCCTGTCGGGCCTGCGCCGACACCCCCTCCAAGTAGGGAGGGCGGCGAGCGGGGTGCCGGGAGACGACAAGGGACGTGGTGGCCTGTCCGGTGGTAGCGGGCCCTTCCCAGCTGTGCGGGTGCGTTCGGGGCTGTACTCAGGGCCTCTAACCTGCTCCCTGTGTGTCCCGCCTGGCTGAGGACTAACCACCTCCTCTGGGGGCCTCGGGGCGTCCCTGGGCCTGTCTGTGGTGAGCGCAGCTCCACCCCACGGCACCCCGCCCGCGTACTTCCTCCGAGAGGGCCCAGGGCAGAGAGGTCGAGCTGCTGGCCCTCGGACACACAGCCCAGAGACAAGAGGAAGCCTTGCCTGCCCCCTCAGGCAGAGTGGGTCCGGGGCGAGGGGTCACCTGGCCTGACCCTGCCTCTCCGTTTTGTGTCTAGTCAGCCGTGCCGGCCCCCAACTTTGCTATGCCCGTCACGGTGCCCGTGTCCAACCAGAGCTCACTGCAGTTCAGCAATCCCAGCGGCTCTTTGGTCACCCCCTCCCTGGTGACGTCCTCCCTCACGGACCCCCGGCTCCTGTCCCCCCAGCAGCCAGCGCTGCAGAGGAACAGCGTGTCTCCGGGCCTGCCCCAGCGGCCGGCCAGTGCAGGTGAGGTGGGGCCTCGGGATTCCGTCTTCGGCACTGGGTATTTCCCTGCACCCAGTGCAGCATTCTGCCGTTTGTGTGGCTCCTCCCGCTGCGGGGTCCCTCGGGACATACCGTGGAAGGGGGCGTCCTGCCGACTCATCACGGTTCTGCTTGTCCCCCAGGGGCCATGCTGGGGGGAGACCTCACCAGTGCTAACGGAGCCTGCCCCAGCCCTGTCGGTGAGTGCAGCTGCCTGCCTGCTCGCGGCCTCGCGGGCCCAGGGACCAAGAGGGACCCCCGTTAGATGAGAGGAAGATGCCGGGGCCTGAGTTGGATGGGTCTCTTTTGTCCGTAGCAGTGACTGGTGTGGACGATCATCAGAGACGTAGGCCCAGGGCGTTCTGGGCAAAGTGGGGGAATGAACCAACATTTCTAGTTGGATGAGAAGATCCAAGTCCTTTCAGTTGAGTGGGGGCACCTGGGTGGGATCTGGAGCGTATGGTGTTGCCGACGGACTCCCATCCAGACCCCCGGCCGCCGACAGCCTCTCCCGCCCTGTGCTGTTGTCCGACTGGTGATTGTGACTTCGAATGTCACCATTGACGTCACCCTGACATTCTTGCCATTCCCAGAGTGATCCGGGAATTGGGATGAAGGCAGCCCCACACTTCCAGGGGAACAGTGTGCTCTCAGGGGACAGAGCAAGGTGACATGTCTGACTGTGGTCATCGCCACTTCTCTGGGCCTTAGAATCCCCCAGCTGAGCCCCAGGCACCACATAAACACCTTGGTGGCAGTGATTGTGTGTTGGGGTCAGAGGCGGGGATGGCGACTTCCTTTTCCTCTCGAGGAGAGGGCCAGAGAAGCACCTACAGACTCCCGGGCACTCCTGGTGGTCCTTGCAGGCGCCCAGGCCCAGCGTGTGGGGTGCGGGTGCGAGCCCTGGCTTGGCCTCCGCCCGGCCGTGCTGCCCCGGGCCAGTCCTCACACCTCTGGCAACCAGGCCTCGAGTCTGGTCTTTCGTGAATAGGGCTGAGGGGCCACGTCCGGTCTGCCTCGCAAGGCGGGCGTGAGGATTAAATGAGATGGTGTGCACGTGAAAGTCCCGTGCGGTGTCGAGCGTGGGGCAGACGGAAGAGGTAGTTATTATGCCTGTTGTTGCCACCGTAATTGTGGTGGTGGCTGTGTCGTCCGTTCCCCATTACCAGTGACGCCACCGCCGCCAGCGATGGCTCGTGTGCCCCAGAGCCACGGGCGTGTTGTCATGTACTCACCCAAGTCGCGGCACCCGTCTCCTGGCCAGAGGCGCCGTCTTGCGTCGATTGGCCTCGGGGGCCGGGATCCTCACTGAGGGCAGCTCCGGGCTACCCACCCCTTCTCCAGCTGGGGCCACCGTGAGCCAGTCGGGGCAGGTGGGGGGATTGGCAGGACTTCCTGTCTGAGACCAAGCGGAGGAAAGGTGGGAAGGGCTCGCCGCAGGGTGTGGCCACTCCTTCCTACCAGCCTTAGGGCTCCCGACCGCGAGCTCCATCGCACATCACTTAGAGGCAGAGAGGAATGAGCCCGGCGATGCCGGAGTCAGGGCGGTTTTAGGGGAAAACTGAGAGCTCAGCACCCACCGGCAGCCTGAGCGTGGAGTCCTGGTGCGGGGGGAGTTAGCGGGGCTGAGGGCTGGGTCCGCGTCTCTCCTTTTACCCTCATCTCTTTCTCTCAGGGAATGGCTACGTCAGTGCCCGGGCTTCCCCCGGCCTCCTCCCTGTGGCCAATGGCAACAGTCTAAACAAGGGCATCCCTGCCAAGTCTCCACCCCCGCCCGCCCACAGCGCCCAGCTTGGAGCCCCCAGCCGCAAGCCCGACCTGAGGGTCATCACTTCCCAGGGAGGAAAGGGCTTGATGCATCACCTGGTGAGTGGGTGTCTGCACCGAGGGGTAGGGGCTGGGGAAGGGGGAAGAGCCTGAGGCTAGCCAGCAGGTGGGACCTCCGGAGAGAGACTGTAGAGGCGGGACTTCTCCTGAGCTTTCTCTCCGAGGGCCCTGCAAGAGGTTGGAATGTGGAAGTGCCACCCACAAGGGCAGTAAGAAGGGACAGGAGGTGGGAGAGAAGGGAGGGAGGGATTTGACATCCCTGTGGAAGCATGAGGACTGGATTGTGAAGGTTTCGTACCTGGTGGTCGTTGGGATATAGCATTTTCTGGAGTCCGAGGCTGGAGAGCCGTCCCGCTCCTGTGTGAAGAGGTAGATGGGGTGGCCGTGGGGACAGGGGTCTGGGGGTGGGGTGCAGAGGTCAGAGACTGAACCAGCCCCTTGGTTTTATTTCCGCTGCCAGACTGAGGACCATTTAGATCTGGTAAGTTGAGGCTGTGAGGTGTGTGCTGTGGCTTTGAACTCCGGGTCCACCCGTGGCTCGTGCCCCAGCATGGAGTGTGCGTGTGCCCCCTGCCTCCCGCCTGCGTGTGTCGTGTGTGTTGTTTGTTTACTCGGTTGTTTGCCAGGAGCTGTGCTCAGTGCCAAGCGGGGTATAGAGGTGAATGGGGCAGGGGTCAGGGTTAGACATGCATGTGTTTGTACCTGTGTGGACGGGGACGTCTTTATGTGATGCGTTCACACAGACACCCCTTAACCCTGTGTGTCTGTGTGTGTGTGTGTGTGTGTGTGTGTGTGTGTGTGCACGCGCGCGCACGCGCGCAAGGGGCTGGGCCGGCCCCTGGCCTTGGAGGGCCCGTCTGGATGTGCCCCAGGACGCCTGCATTGGCGGGGCTGGACCATACTTGCCCTCTGACTCAGTCCCACTGAGCACTCTTGGAACCCAGGACAGGGACCTCCTTGGGAGGGGTGCCAGCCAGACCGTGGCAGCACTTTCCCAGAGGCAGCTGCGGCCCAGGGCCAGGCCAGGGGTGTCCTTGGTAACTCCCTGCCTCCTCTCGGCCTCCTCGAGCTCAGTCCCAGCTCAGTCCCGCTCGCAGCCCGCCTCACCTGCGCTCCCAGGCGCTCGCAGCCGCGCACGCGCGCTCACGCTTCCATCCCGGCCCCAAGCCAGGAGCGGGGCGGGGGCTCCTCCCTCCCCAGCTCCCTGACGGGAGGCCAGAGAGGCTGGAAAAGGCAGGCGGGCTTTGGCGGCCAACACGGCGGCAGTTTCGGCCCCAGCGTGGAGCTGGAATAAACAAGTGACTCAGCGGCAGATGGAGCTGACAGCCCCACACGCGTGTGTGCTCACACGCAGGCACACGCCACGCCTGGCAGATCCGGGCGCGCCTTCCTCCCTGCACGCGTGCATGCGCCCCTCGCTGGGCGCCGGCGTCCCCGTGACGGCGTCGGCGTGCGTGTCCACGCCGAGGCGTCCCCGCCAGGCGGGCCCGCCCCCCCCCCCACCCCCCACCCCGCCACCCGTTGACACCCGCTTCTCTCCCGCAGAACAACGCCCAGCGCCTTGGGGCCTCCCAGTCGACCCACTCGCTCACCACCCCGGTGGTTTCCGTGGCAACACCGAGTTTACTCAGCCAGGGCCTCCCTTTCTCCTCCATGCCCACTGCCTACAACACAGGTGAGTGGCTGCGTGCCCTTGGCCCTGGGGCACTGTTCCCCGGAGGGGGGAGGGGGGGGGGGGGGGGGGGGGGGGGGCTCCAGCCCCAGCGGGAAGCCCCCACCTGGCTGCGGGTGCCAGACTCAGCAAATAGAAAGAGAGAGGATGCCCCCTGAAATTTGAATTTCAGATAAAACCGCGAGTAATCTTGTAGTATAAATACGCGTCAAAGACTTTTTTCTGCTAAAGCATGTCCCAAAGACGTACTCGTGTTAAAAAAACGACTCATTGCTTTGTCTGAAATTCAAGTTTGCTAACTGGGGATCCCTCGTTTTAATACAGGACCTAATGGAAGAGGAGTTCCTGTCCTTGAGGAACCTCCTTGTCTGAGGAGGGGCCAGGCCAGCGGCAGGGGTGGCGGGGAGGGGGGCTGAGCACATGACTCAGGCTGCCCTTGGGGGGGCAGGGCAGGCTTCCTGGAGAAGGGACAGGTGGAGGAGGCCAGAGAGAGGGAGGCCTGTCAGGAGGGTTTGCCCAGCCTCTCGGGAAGGCCAGCTGGGGGCTTCGGGCAGGGGGAGGAGGGAGGAGACGGCCTCTCACCCAGGAGGTGGCTCTGCTGTGGGGGGTGATGGGGAGGGGAGAGGAGGGCCCTGACAAAGGGAAGGTCAGAGAGGGGTGTGAAGGTGGAGAGCCTCTCGGGGGGCGCAGGAGAGGCCTCTGGGTAGAAGAAATCAGGACACCCAGTGCCCAGGCTGTGCTGGGTCCCCGGGGCTGTCCTGGCCTGTGTCACCCACTGTCCCCTCCCAGCAACAGCCTGTGACACTTTCAGCCATCCTGGCCTGCACTCTGTTGTTGCATCAGGAGGGACTTCTCAGTGGGGACGTGCCTTGTCACCTCCTTTCAGAGCAGTTGTTTCCCGGGAAGAGACCTCTGCAGCCCCCACCCCCCACTGCCGGTTCCCTCGCTCGGGAACAGCTTGCGTTAGGGCTGTTTTGTGATCAGATCAAACTGGACCAAAAGACCCCGACGCTTCTCCAGCCACCCCACACCCTGGTTCCGGAATCACACCATGACGCCTGTACAAATACAGAATCGAGGTGTCTGGCTGGCTCCGTTGGCACAACGTACAACTCTCCATCTCAGGGTTGTGAGTTCGAGCCCCACGTTGGGTGTAGAGATTGCTCAAAGATTAAAAAAAAACAAAACCAAATACAAGAGCCTATCTCTTCCCCCTGGGCAAAAATCTAGAACCCAGCAGCGTCCATAGGGATGCCCCTTGGGGCAGGTAAGAGACCTGGGGGAAGCACCTCATGTTGAGGGGCCAGCCCCTGACGTGTGTCTGTGTCCAGATCTTCTCACCCAGGTGTCTGATGAGTCCCCTGTCCCTGTGTGTGTTCCCGTACGTGGACCCACTGCCCGGTTCCGCTGTCCCGGGGCAGCCTCAGGCGGCCATCCTCCTGGGCCCCAGTCTCCTCATCTGGAAGAGTCGTGGGCCCGCAGGGGGTCTCTCAGGCTCCCTGGGGGCTGGCGGGGCGTTTGGCGGAGGGCAGTGCAGGCCACTCTCCAGGAGCTGTTGTCTGGGGGGCTCCCGAAACACGTGGTGGCGCCTTCCTGCCGCCTTCTGGGGCCCTTGCAGGAGGGGAGCTTAGCGGGTGTCCGTGAACCAGGGACAGGCGCCCACCCAGCAGGGCCAGACTTTAGACTCCGTTTGTCAGTCTGGTGGGAGGGCAGATTGTGACCCTGAGCCTGGCCTTGCGGCCCCGCCGGGAAATGTGGGCTTCCTCACGTTGTCCCAGAGACCAGGGGCCCCGGTTCTCTTGCTGCAGGGATAGGTGAGCAGGCCTCGGTTTAAACAGCACGTGTTTTCAGGTGACCCTAGGTATCTAAACAAAACCCCGGCAAACACACCGCTGTTTAGTTATTCCCCGTTCACGGTCCTTGGCCCCCGTTCAAGTTCCGGCTGAGGTTGATTTGGCTCCGGTAATGTCCTGGGTAAGGGACCGGCCTGGCCCCTCGTTGACCCTGGCTGCGGAGCTCTGGCTCTGTTTGCTCCGGGAGCAGATCGAGTGGGCCTGTGGGCCGTGTTCCTCCTGCCCAGGGTGGCGGGCGAGGACGCAGTGCGCCTTTCTAGGCTGGGCTTCCTGTTTGTAAGATGAGTGTGGCAAGGAGTTGGTCCTAGGGGCTCCTCCTGCCCTGGCTCTGGTTTTTAAGCAGGTGTCTCGAGGCTGCTGGCTGATCTTAGAAGATCATAGGCAAGTGTGGAGCGGACATCCCTAGGGGGGATTTACGGGTAATCGGAAGCCCTGGGGTCTTGCCTCAGCTCAGCCATTGGCTTTCTCTGCGAGAAGCCCACGCTTCTCATAGAGGCTCCCCACACGAGAGGCTGCAGTTGCCTCGTTTGTGGATCTGGAATATTTCCTGAGTGCCAGATTCTGTTGTGTGCGCCCCACGTGTGAGAGCTCGGTCCTCACAACCGCTGTGTGGTGCGTTTGGCTCTCGTGTGTCCGGTCCATAAACAGGGAGCAAGGCGCTTGTCCCCGCTCACGGACCTCCGTGGAGGCCACCGGGACGTCTGACCACGTGGCTCTTGCCCTTCCCCTTGCTCTGTGCCCGGCAGCGTCTTCCCTGCAGCCCCGGAGCTGGGGCCACAGCACGCGACTCCTCGAGGAAGAGCATGGTGGTGTGGCGGCGACAGCACGCGGGGTGTGCCTGTGCCCACCGCCACTGCCGTTGTCACCTTGGGCTCCCAGGGGGACGCTACTAAACCACCCCAAACAGGCTGCGGCGTGAAATGCACCAGCGCGTGTAAATCGTGAACCCCCTCGCGTTGGTTGAGTCTCTGATGGAGATTCCACAGCTTCTTCAGAAGACAGAAGTTTAGAAAGTGAGAAGCCGGGGGAGGCTCGGCCAGCTATGCTGAGGGCACGCTCCCCTCCCCGCCCCCCTGTTCCGCGGGGGGCCCATCAGGGCAGGCGAGTGGAGCCTCACCGCCTTCCTCTCCCTGACTGGTGTGGGCGGTCTCGAGGCCGCGGGTGGAAGGACGGCGACGGTGGTCTGCCCCAGAACGCCATTCCCCGGGTGTCCCCGCGACGCCCCTCTGTCTGGGAAAGGCCCCGGAAGTCCTGGCAGTGGAAGAGGTGACACTTAGACGTATATTGGGCCTTCCTGACTTCTTCCTCTTCTTTTCCAGTCGACACTCTGAAAGCGATACTTACGGGTGGTTAAAAAGAAACGACTTCAAGGCCGTTTTTTTTTTTTTTTTTTTCAACGTTTATTTATTTTTGGGACAGAGAGAAACAGAGCATGAATGGGGGAGGGGCAGAGAGAGACGGAGACACAGAATCGGAAACAGGCTCCAGGCTCTGAGCCATCAGCCCAGAGCCCGACGCGGGGCTCGAACTCACGGACCGCGAGATCGTGACCTGGCTGAAGTCGGACCCTTAACCGACTGCGCCACCCAGGCGCCCCAAGGCCGTTTTAAAAACCCAGCCCCTGGTGCTGGTTACGATTCGCTTCAGCTGTGGGTGCCGGTGCCCGGCGCAGTGACGGACGCCGCACGGGGGTGTGCCCGCTGACCTGTCCCCTTCTCCCCCGCCCCTGCAGATTACCAGCTGACCAGCGCAGAGCTCTCCTCCCTCCCAGCCTTCAGCTCGCCAGGGGGGCTGTCGCTCAGCAGCGTCACTGCCTGGCCGCAGCCGCAGCAGCCCCAGCCGCCCCAGCCGCAGCCGCCCCAGCCGCCGCAGCAGCCGCAGCCGCCCCAGCCGCCCCAGCAGCCCCAGCAGCCCCAGCAGCCACCCCAGGCGCAGCCCCACCTGGTCCCCGTGTCTCTCAGCAGCCTGATGTGAGTCCCGGGGCTCCGTGGGAGGGGTGGGGACAGAGCCGAGGGCGGGAAGACGGGGTCCTCTGGGGGAGCTGGGGCCCCTTCGAAGGGCCCTGTCACCGGCGGACAGCATAGGACACTGAACGCCGAGTGGCCCCGGAGACCCAGCCGGAGCCCCTCCCCTGCCAGCCCAGAGTACCAAGGGGCCGTGGCTGACACCGGCCAGAAAGAACTAATGTGGCTTCTTCCTTCTTTCCCTCCCGCGGCCCCTCTTCTCTTGTCTCCTCTCTGTCTGCTCATCCCTCCACACCCCCACCTCCTCCTTCTCCCTCCCTGGGCCCCCCCCCCCCCCCCGGGGGGTGGGGTCGGCCCGGGGTTGGGCCCCCCCCCCCCCCCCCGGTGCCCAGCCCGGGCAGCCCCCTGCCCCACGTGGGGGCCGCCCTCACGGTCACCACCCACCCGCACATCAGCATCAAGTCAGAGCCGGTGTCCCCCAGCCGTGAGCGCAGCCCCGCGCCGCCCCCTCCAGCTGTGTTCCCGGCCACCCGCCCTGAGCCTGGCGACGGCCTCAGCAGCCCTGCCGGTGGCTCCTACGAGACCGGGGACCGGGACGACGGCCGGGGGGACTTCGGGCCCACGCTGGGCCTGCTGCGCCCGGCCCCCGAGCCCGAGGCCGACGGCTCCGCCGTAAAGAGGATGCGGCTCGACACCTGGGTACTGTAGCGTCACCCTCCTGCCCGCCAGTGTCCGCTGCACCCCGGGGCCCCCTCCCCGCCCCCCCCCCGCCCCTGCGTCGCCCTCGTGGGGCAGCACCGCCACCTCCGCCACCCCCACGGGCCCGTCCGTCTGTCCCTCCAGCACCAGGCCCGCACCCGTGTCCGCCGGCTGCCTCCAGTGCCCTGGCCCTGCAGGGAGAGGGGAGTGGGGGGCGCAGACCCCCACAGCCTGGGCCCTCACACCCCTTCTCCATCTCCTCTCTTCGCAGACATTAAAGTGACGATTCCCACCCCCCTCCTCTCAGCCTCCCTGATGAAGAGTTGACAATCTCACCGCCCACCCCTCCCCGCCCCGGGCTCCTCCCGCTCGACCCCACTTCCTTTTGTGCCCCGTGTCCTGTTGACGGTTACATTTGTGTATAATTATTATATTATTATTATTATTATTATATTTTTTTTAATTTGGATTCTCGCTTTGGAGAGGGGATGCTCCCGTCCCCTCTTTCTGCACCCCCACCATCTTACTGGCGAGGGGTGCTGTTTTTGCGGGAAGGGGGGGGACACTTTGCACGTTGTTCACATATGCTGCAGGAGGGGGTGGGGAGCCCGATAGGCCTTTGGGACAGGACAGGTGCCGAGCCCTCCCGCCCCGTCCCCCAGAGAGAGGGAGATAACCAAAAAAACTACCAAACAGCAAACCCCCTTACAATAGACTGAACCCCAAAGTCGGCTGGACGGATGGGTTTGTGTTTCGGCGGGGAGGTGAGGCAGAGGTTCTGGAGGGGGTCTCTGCTTCTGGGCTGTTCCTGCGGCCACAGGCACGTGGGGCGGAGTATCCAAGCCCAGCCCCCTCATGCCCCCCCCCCCCCCTCCACAGGACGCACTCACTGATTCTCGAGCGAGCTGCACCCCCAGGTGTGGGAGCGCCGGCCGAGCTTGTGGGCTGGGAAGGCCGCCTGGGAATCTGAGGCTGGGGGCAGAGAGCTGGGGTGAGGGGCGAATCGGGGCCCCCTTCCTTCCCTAGCGGTTTCTCTAAGACACACAGTGCAATAGCCCCATCCCTCAGCTGACACCAGCCCCAGGAAGCGGCCCCAGAGCGCAGGGAGGGGAGGGAAGCTGCAGTGAGGCTGCTCAGCAGGGCCGGAACCCTCGCGTCCGGCGGCAGGTGTGCGTGGGGCTCGCTCTTCCTTGCACGGACACGTCCCCACGCCCCCGTAGGAGGGACGCCGGGGCGGCGAGAGGGCGGGAGAAGGGAGATGCGGGAGGAGGTCCGGAGAAGGCCCGCCTCCCTCCTTCCCGCCTGGGCCCTCCCTCCCCGGCCCCCCTCCGGGCCCCCTGCCACGCCCCCACCCCCCGCTCCGGGCGTCCTCCTGGTCTGCTACCTCCTGTCCCCCCACCCCCAGGCCGCATCCCGCCTTCCCTCTCGGCTACTGTAATTGTAAATAGCGACCTTTGGAAAACGTTAGCAGTGTAACAGTCCAGGAAACTGGTTTTTTCTGTTGTTGTTGTATTGATATGAAATGAGATTCTATTTTTGTCAAAGTATATTGTAATAATAATGACTCAAACGGCCCGTACTGTACACATGGGATTCTTCTCTGTTGTTCTCGCCTCCCTGCCCCCCAGCCCACCCCTCCCTGCTGCCGCCCCAGTGGGGGCAGCCTCAGCACGGGGTCCTGCGACCTCAGGCTGGATCGCAGATCAAAGCGGAGGGGGCAGGCCCCCAGCCTGCCATCCACCTCCCCCCCCCCCCATCTAAGGGGCCTGGCCTGAGGTAGGGTGTGCAGGCGGACCGGGGTGGGGGGCGCCCCCATCCCTCACGGAAGCCTCCCTCCTCTACCCTGGGGGTGCAGCGCTCCCTGGGGGTTTCATCCCAGCCCAGCGGGAAAGTAGACTAGACAAGGCCCAGTCCGTGGCAGGAAACTGTGCCTGCCTCTGTGACCCAGCCGCTGGCAGTATTCTGACACCTGACGCAGGGAAGGAACCAGATCAAGGGGTGTGTGTGACCACACGAGCACCTGAGCGTGTTCACGAGGGCATCTGGTATTTGTGTGTGCATGGGCGTACCTTTGTGTGTCTCTGAGCCTGTCTGGGCATATACAAGGATACTTGTGTCGATTGAGCTCTGAGGGCATCTCTGTGGGTGCATGTGCCTGGGAGGGGAGGGGAGAGGGGGGAGACAGGTGGCTGTGTGCCACACGTGCCCCTCCACCCCGATCCCCATTCCCGGCCCTGTTCTACCCTGAGTTCTGACAGGCTTGCACTGCAGTTGGGGGGGGGGGGGGGAATCCGACAGTCGCCCCATTTGCTTGTCCTTGCGGCCCTACCTCTCCTGGGCTCCACGCACAGGCAGCCCCCCTGGCCCCCGGCCCTTTGCATACACACAGCTCTCTTTCCGGCTGTACACTCTTCCCCCACCCCGGCCCTGCCTTCAGGGTGACACTTATGTTCCCGTTCCTTCTGGAAGCATTTCCTCGCCCGGGCAGTGATTTCTTCCTTACTCAGAGTTTAACCCCCACCTGCTGGCTGGGCACACAGCGCGTCCGGTCTTCCTGCAGGTTCCTAGAGGGACTTTCAAGAGTCGACGAGACTTGATCAGGGCCTGGAAAGACAGTTCAGGGTGTAGCCTTGTGCATGCATTCCCAGAGCCCTGCCCCGTGTCTGCCATAGGTCGTGCTCAATAGATGCCGAATGGGTGAATGATCGGCGCTCAGCAAACCTCGGGTGCCTGGCCGTCCCTCCTCAGGCTGTTCCTGCCGCCAGTCTGCCCACCTTTGGAAGCCGGGCTTGGCCACCACCAGACACGGGGCGGGGACGGGAGCCCCTGAGGCTCGCGGTGCAATATTCACCAGTTTTGCCGTCTGCCTTGTGATGGCAAACCTGGCTTCCGATTCCCCCGTGTGGATGTGTGTCTGTCTTTCTTCTCTCCCCCTGGGGGCGGGGGCTGGTCCGTGAATGACTATGTGACATTTCTGTGATGCGGTACCCCGGGCTTTCTCTTGGGGGTAGGGGCTCCTGGCTGGCCAGATGAATGGGTCCCTGGGAACCCGGACCTCAAGTGAGGACTTCATTTCTTCCTCTCACAAGCCAAATTTGTCTCCACCTACTCCTTCCTCCTAAGAACTGGGCATTTGCCAATGTAATCACTGGAGTCCCCCACTGCCCCTCCCTCCCCAGCTTTCCCAAGCTCGCGGGGACAGTGGGCAAGAGGAGCCTCCCATGCCATTGGAGCACACCATTTTCCCTCCCGCCCAGCAATGCGCTCGGCACGGCGAGACCGACCCCTGACCCTGACCCAGCCCTCCCCACCTTGGACAGGAAGGAAGTAAAGCACCTTCTCTTGATGATTATTTATTTGTTTGGAGAGACAGAACTGATGTAAAAGTGTATCTAGAAATATCTATATCTATATATTTTTAACTGACTTCTTTGGAATCTCCCAGGGAGGGGTGGGGGTGAGTTTAGGCTTTCACGGAAGAGAGAGGCCCGCAGCCTGGGAACTCCAGTTCTCTCCTCCGCTGCCTCTCTCCACCCCCTGAGCGGTGGTGGAAGGCGTGGGGTTTGTGTGGGGGCAGGGGGCTGGAATGTTCTGTGGAGAATCTGGATTCTCTTTGTCTTCCCCATTCAGGTCCCAGAGGGAAGGGGGGAGAGGGAGGGGAGGCATGGAGGCGCCCCCCCCCCCCGCCCCCGGAACCCGACAATCACCCACACTCCTGGGGCCGCTCCTGGGTCCCGGGCAGGGCGCGTCCAAGTGTGTGACTGTTGATTTGTTTTCAATATTTCTTTTCGTGCTGTATGGTGATGCTTTCTTAGTATTCTACACAATAAGAAGACAAAGTCCTCGGGATTCTTCTGAGTTTTGTTTGAAAACTCTTTCACTATATTTGTTGTAAAGAGGTTTACTATTAAAAGAAAAAGAATACACGTTTCTGATACTCGGGCTTGGGTTCTGGTTTCTTTGGTGCGGCCGGCAGAGGAGAGGGTGACTGTGGGGGGTGTCCCCTCAGCAGGAGGGGGTGCTCTCCGGTGACAGGTTCCTCCAGGTGCGGGGTCAAAAGCAGAGGCAGCCCCAGGAGGAGAGGGTTGTCCCACAGGAAGTCTCCCGAAGGATCTCGGGACACGGGAACACCCGTAAGAGCACCCAAGGCCAGGTCAGGAACAAGGGGGTGGTCGGGGGGAGGCTTCACTACCGGAAACCCTTTCTGTGACAACAACTTGCCGTGGATCCCATGGTCACAGTGCGCGGGCGTGTCTGCCCTCTTCTCCCTCTGACAGTGCCGGGGAGCCTCTCCCTGCGGTCCTGAGGCATCCCCACGGGCCCCCCAAGCTGGTGCCCTCCAGCAGGGGCAGGGGACCCCTGTTCCCGCCCCCACACCTGCCGAGTGTGCGCAGAGGCCCACGCTGGGTGCGAAGACGGAGGTGGAGGGAGTCCACGTCGCATGGTTGACGCTCTGGGCCTCGGGTCCTTCATCTGTCCCGGCCCTGCCTCCCCAGGGCCACCGCGGGCCGCACCTCACTGGTGCGGCCCCCCCCCCCTGCGGCAGACAGAGAGGAGGAGCCAAGCAGGAAGGGCCCGCTCTCCTCCAGATGTGACTCCACTTCCCCTTGGCCGCCAGCTGCCCCAACCTGGCCCTCGTGCCCTCGCGCAGCCGTCCGTCGCCCCGACTCGTGGTGGGCATGCGTGCCCGCGAACCGCCGCAGAGGGGAAGGCCTGAGACTGCCGAGGCCAAGTCGTGACTTCCGTCTCTCTCTCTCCGTCTCGTCCTTTGCCCCTGGGGAAGCCAGATGCCACGCTGTGGGCACGACCGCAGCCGCGGGGAGAGGCCCACACAACCGAGAACCCGGGCCTCCCATCAACAGCCTTTGCGAGCGGCCCCTGTGTCCCCTGTCCTCACCGTGTCCGAGCTTCCGCAGACACTGCTCCAGGGGACACCCACCTGCGCCCGCGAGGTGCCCTGAAGTATCACCCGGATCCCCGAGCAAAACCCCTGTCCTTTGTCCCTGGCACCTCTGTTCCTCAGACTGTGTGGCCTGCATCACTACAGCCCACAGGCATCTCCTGCCCTGCTCTCCTTCCTGGACGTGTAGAAGACTGTATTTCCCAGTCACCGTGAGTCAGGCGCGGTCATCGGACTGGTTCTGGCCAAGACATGCGTCGCTCCCGAAATCGCACTGGCGCCTGTGCTCCAAGTGCTCTGTCCCTGTTGGGGGAGCGGCGGGAGCCATCAGAGTGGCCTGGGTCGCTAAGGGGTCTCCGGTGCTGTCCAGTAGGACAGGGACTTTGTGCGACTAGGAAATAAGCGTGTCGGGCCACAGAGATGTTAGTACTGCATCTGCACCATGACCTCTCCCATCCTGACTGATGGGGCATCCGCTCACACCTGCACAGCCCCGAAGCCCCACGGACCGCGGTACCCCCTGTGGCGGGGCACAAAGGTCTCTGAACTTGCAGTCCGCAGCTGGCTTGCCTGCTGGTCCCACCGCCTCGCGGTCGTGCGGCCTTGAGCGGTCCCCCTCTCCACGCTGCTGTTTCATCAGCTGGAAGATGCCTATTTCATAGCTGTCTATTTTCTCGAACCCCTGCCTCCCCTTCCCCGGCCACCCCCACCCGCCCCCGTTGTGCAGTTCTGGTCCTCTAACATCGCAGGGGGCTTTGGGCCAAGTCCAAACCCCACCGCTCGGCTCCCAGCCCCCTCAAAGGGCCAGCCCAAACTCTTGTTCAGGCTTAGTCCCCGTGTGTCCCAGCCGCACACCCCTTGGAGTCCAGGCCGACCAGGAGGCCCGCTCCGGGCCCTGACAGATCGTTCATATCTTTGCTCCCGCCATCTTTCCGTCTGAAATGCGACAAGCGTGTATTGAGCGCCTACTCTGTGTGAGCCCGTTTGTTAGGCCCCGGAGACGGAGAGACGGACCGGACGCATCGAGATCCTGACTCCAGGCAACTCACAGCTCAGTGGGGACAAGGGCCAAGTGACGCAACACTTAACACCTGACTCAGCAGTCTGTACTAAATGTCACATAGGAAGGGTGTGAGTGGGCTGTGGGATCAGACTTGAGGCACACCCAAATCCAAGCCAGTTAGAGATCAGGAGAGTCTCCTTGGAGGTGTCTGGGCTGGGTCTGAAGGCATCCGGAGTTCCTGGGCAAACATGTACAGGGAAGGCATTCCTGCTGGCAGGGAGAGCATGTGGGGTGGGGAAGGAGAGCGGTGTGCTCCGGAAGAGCATGGGGCAGGTCGAGGGCACAGCATATAAAGCTGAAGCCTCACTGTGAAGGGCTGTGATTGCCAAAATTTGCACTTTATTCTGGAGATGTGTGATCATCGAAGGTTTTTTGTTTTTTAATGTTTATTTTTGAGAAAGAAAGAGCACAAGCAGGGGCAGGGTGGGGGAGGGGCAGGGAGAGAGGGAGACGCAGAATCCAAATTGGACTCCAGGCTCCCAGCTGTCAACAGAGCCCGACGTGGGGCTCGAACCCACGAACCGTGAGATCATGACCTGAGCCGAAGTCAGACCAGAGGCTTAACCAACTGAGCCACCCAGGTGCCCCGGTCAGGCCATCAAAGGGGTTTTTTTGTTTAATTTTTTTTTTAATGTCTTATTTATTTTTGAGACACAGAGAGACGGAGCATGAGCAGGGGAGGAGCAGAGAGAGAGGGAGACACAGAATCCGAAGCAGGCTCCAGGCTCTGAGCTGTCAGCACAGAGCCCGACGCGGGTCTCGAACTCGCGAACTGTGAGATCATGAAATGAGCCGAAGTCGGATGCTCAACCGACTGAGCCACCCGGGCGCCCCCCTCAAAGGGTTTTAAGTAAAAGAGGGGGCTTGGTCAGATTTGCATTTCAGAAAGCTCCAGCCTGTATAAGCTCCTCCTGACAGCAGAACTGAGGCCCAGGTGGGGTCCTTTACAAGTGAGAGAGGGTCAATTTAGTAAATATTATTTTTCAAGATTTCATTTTTAAGAAATCTCTACACTCAGAGTGGCACTTGAACTCGCAACCCTGAGATCAAGAGTCACACATTCCACTGGGCCGGCCAGGTGCCCCTTAGTAAATATTAAAAAGGGAGAATAACAGGGCTTGGAAACCGCCTGGTGAAGGTACAGGAGGAAGGAAACGGAGGAGCGCCAGTGGCTCCCAAACTGAGCCTTGGAATTCTGACGGGGTGGTCGGGCTGCAGCCCCAGGTGCGTCTGGAGAAGGGAAGTTTTGTTTCAGATGAACCGAGTCCCGGGTACACGTGGAAGCCATTGCACACTGTTGATAGACGGCCATGCTGTTCAGGCCTGGAGGGTGAGATCACCATGAGGGCAGGGAGGTTTTTCTGAAGAGGGAAGCCATTCACGGTGTTGGTCACCCATGGAAGACATCAACCTCAGGACACGGGAGCTCCAAGGACCATGAAGGAAGGCTGGGGGGCCTGGCGAGAAGAGTCATGTAGAGGCCCTGAGCCACCGAAGGGTAGCAGTGTTGTGTAGGTGCGATTAACCCGACATGTATTTCCTATCGGTGGTCTCCTGCCTTTAGTAAAAGCCTTGCTTGACTCACTAGCCTTGTGCTAATCTCAAACAAGGGAAAACTCACTGATGAATTCTTTGAGGCATCAAAGGGGGGGGTGGGTGGGTACAGGTGCTCTGCTCCCCAGGGGTGGCTGCGGGGGTACGTCAGGGGTGGTAGGGGAACGGGGGAACCTCAGGAAGATCTGGTTCCAAAGGCCCCATTGCTTCTTCATAGGGACGGACACCCAGTGCATCCTCAAAGGTTCCTGGTTCTTTGTTTCTTAATTTTTTTTAAATCTTTATTTTTGAGAGAGAAAGAGACAGAGTGAGAGCAGGGGAGGAACAGAGAGACAGGAAGACACAGAATCCAAAGCAGGCTCCAGGCTCTGAGCTGTCAGCGCAGAGCCCGATGCGGACCTCGAACCCACGAACTGGGAGACCATGACCTGAGCTGAACTCAGACGCTTAACCCACTGAGCCGCCCAGGTGCCCCTCTTGGTTTTCTTTTGATGAGGGAAGAAGACACTTCTCAGGCACCTGAAGAATGTTCCAGAGGAACAAAAACCATTCTTGATCCATAATATGGGCTCAGTAAGTATGAGTCACTACTTTTGAGTTACTGCTACTGGTCAAAGACAAGAAACTGGATGGATGACTTCCTAGGGTAAGTAAGAAGAGGTCTGTGCACCCAACCTGCTCTACACCTGTTTTTACCTTTGAAACTTTTCCTGCCATTCAAGGCTCCCTTGCGAGAAAAACTTGTCCTGGTTTTCCTGTCTTGCCCCACCGGTTCGTGCCAGGGGTCTTGGGAGGCCTCCTTTATAGCGCCCAGCTCATCCTACCCCGAAGCCCAGGCCCTAGTTTCCTACTTTTTTCTCTACAACTGGACTGAAAGCGCTCCCCTTTTTCGTGTCTGGCTCAGTGCCTGGCACACAGTGTGTTCCGTCGGACTAAACGGGACACTGGGCTTTGTAAACTGCGGAGCCCTACAAACGTGACGACGCTTTTTTTTCCCCCAGGGTGTGGCGACTTTCTGCAGCTTCTCCTCTACTTCCCAGCTCCTGATCCAACAGGGCGGAAGAGGGGTGTGGCTTCCAGTTTCCTGGGTCCACTGGAGAAGGAGCACCCACTGGGCTCCTGTCCCCAAAGAGGCGGCCCTGGGGAGACGGGAAGCAAAGGGTGGTATCTGGTCGTCCAGCCGAGGAGGCGGCCAGGCCGGTTCGCTGTAGCTCATGTTCTTCTGACTCATTCCGCAGTCCCATGGGCTGAGTAACTTTTCCAGCCTTGTGATTGTGGAAACGTGTTTCAGGAACAGCGAGCGGATGTGAAGAGGACACGGGCGACCCCACCCCAGGCTCCAAGGTGGCTCCTGCTGGAGTCGGTACAGACGGCTTATTTGTTTGCAGACTTCCATCACCCCGTGTCACTGCCTTCCTCCACAGCTGGTAAACCCGAGGGCCCCAAGCAACCGGCGGCTCCCGTGTCTGTCCCCTGCGCGTCTGGCAGGTCCCGGCTGGGAGGTCTAGCGCGGAGGAGCCTGGGGGCCAGAGTTTACGGCCGCTGGGACTCGGCTGCATTTGCCCTCCCGCGATGGGGCTCGCTTTCCCGCAGCCGCCGCTCTCCGGTCCCGCACGACGACCGGGCCGCCCCCGCCCTGGCTGTGTCCCCGCCACGTGCCGCTCAGGAGCTGGAGGCCCCGCCCCCTGGCGACCCCGGCCTCCCGCCGGCCCGGAGGACAACTCCGTGCAGGGCGAAAGGGGCGGGGGGCGGGGGGGGGGTGCAAAGGCACACCGGACAGCGCCAGGCATACAGCAAGCGCTCAATAAATGGCCGACTGGCAACTGCCCGTCGTCACTGAGCCCAGGACCCTTTACGTCGGCCCGTCAGTCGCCCACTGCCCCTCTCCGCCGCGACGCGGCAAATAAAGCAAACGTTAATGGTTAAGCAGCAGGTCAATCGCTCTCCCCCCAGCGCGGGAGCGGACAAAGACCCGAGGCCACGCCCAGCGCGCCCACCGTGGGGCGGGGTAGTGGATCTTGAGAATCCCCCACGCCCCCGTTGGCTATTCCAGTGACGGACGGGGTCATCAGCCAACCGCAGCCCGGGCACGACGCATGCGTCCACAGAAGCTTTAGCCCTAGATGGGGAAAAAAAGCCGCGGGCGCACCGCTGTGGCTGCGTCTGGCCAGGGCCTGGGGAAGCGGGTGCGCATGCGTGAGCCCGACACCACCCTCTCCCTGCGAGACGCGAGCGTACGCAACGTGGCCGGCAGGGGTCTCCGGGGGCGCGCCCCGCAGGGAGGGACCTCGGCCCCACGCGTGCGCGCGGGCCGCGATCTCGCGCGAGGCCGCCGGTAGACGACGCCCCGCTGGCCCCGCGCGCCCGGCCGCCGGCGGGGGCCCCCTCCTGGCAGCCGAGGGCCCCCGATCTCTGGGGACCACAACCCCTGACCGCGCACACCCGGGAGGCCGCGACCCCCACCCGCGCAGGCCAAGACCCTCAATCCTGGAGGCCGAGACCCCGGCCCTTGAGAGGACTGCCCGCCCCGTGGGGCGTTGCTGCACTGGACAGACCAACAGAGAAGCCCCGGAGCACGACAGACATTCGGAACCGTGTTCATATACTGCAAAATACGCACAGTGAAGCAGTATAGTGTCTAGGTGTGTGTGGTAAAACTTTAAAAAGGCAGAGGAATGATAAACACAAAGTTCATCAGTTATGTTGGAGAGGGGTTGGGGGTGGGATGCGGAAAACCAGGCGGGTGCTAGTGGTAACGTTCTAGTTATCGGGTTAAATGGTACATGGAAGGATATTTCCTTATGGTTTATACATAACGCATAGGACGGTTACTCATTTGTATAGAATATGCTTTAGAAATAAGTGGAATCACCTCGCCTCCCAAAACAAAACAAAAGAGGCGGTTGGAGAAGGAGAAGGTCTTACCTGTATTGCACTCGATTTCCAGAGCATTTCTGCACATGTTCTGTCATGTGCAGCCCTTCAAGGTATTGTCTCCATGTGCAAGATGAAGAAAGGAGACCAAAAATTCATGAGGCCGGTGGCACAAAGACAGGAAAGGTGAGCGTGCAGAAGGTCAGCGGGGAGCCCTGGGCAGTTAAATCTCCAGGGTGCCGAGCACTGTGCCTGGAACAGAGAACGTGGTCGGCAAGCACTCGTTCAGCGGGTGAGTGAACTTTCTGATTATGTGGGTGTCCAGGAGTGACAGGAGCTGCCCCGAAGGCAGGTGCCCTGCTCAGCGGCTGGCTGACCACCGTGGGGACCAGGAGGACGAGAGAGGCCACTTTGGGCAAACTTCGGAGAGAAGCCCCTCTGTGACTGTTTATGTGAGTCTGTATATCAGAGGCTGAAGATAAGACCATGTTACGATAATAAGGTTCTCGCCTGCAGTGGGGCAGCAGTCCCCAGAGAAGGGCCAGGACAAAAGAGACATTTTGAAGGGAAAGTTCATAGGACTCGTTGCCGGAATGGGTATGAGGTGTGTTGTTGTTGTGTGTGTGGTTGTGTGTTGTCTGTGGCTCCCGGATGCCGTGCCGCTGACTTCACAAGGGCGTAGAGGAACGTGGATTCGTGCCTAGCAGGTGGTTTGCGATGGAGGATAGCGGTCAGGACGGGTGAGGGCTGACGACACACTGACACGCCAGGGAAACAGCACCTCAGTTTGAATTAGGAGACCCGATTCCTAGGCCTGTCACCCGGGACACGTCGCTTCATCTGAGTGTTTGGTACAGAACGTATACGCGCGACAAGAACTGAAAAGAAGAATGTGCCCGAGCCCCTTGTCCAGATCTAGTTAAATCGACTCCTGTAGGTTTTTTTTTTTTTTAATTTTTTTTTTAACTTTTTTTTTTATTTATTTTTGAGACAGAGAGAGACAGAGCATGAACGGGGGAGGGGCAGAGAGAGAGGGAGACACAGAATCCGAAGCAGGCTCCAGGCTCTGAGCCATCAGCCCAGAGCCCGACGCGGGGCTCGAACTCACGGACCATGAGATCGTGACCTGAGCCGAAGTCGGACGCTTAACCGACTGAGCCACCCAGGCGCCCCTCGACTCCTGTAGTTAAATATGCAGATACCCGCCCCTGGAACTGTGCTTGCCTCCATCGTCCCATGATGTTACGTCCTTCATTCTGGGACTGCCACATTTGTGCTGGAAGTGCTGTCTTACCCGAGTTTCTGTCCCCCCCGCCGTGCCTGGCACAGAGCCGGAGCTCGGTAGATGTGTGTTGCCCCGCACAGAATTGTGTGAACTAGAAAGAACACTCATTTTCCCAAGCCCTAGGTTTCCTTATTTGTAAATGAGACTAGTGGACCTTTAAAATTCTTTTGAGTTCTAGACTTCTGTTATGCAACGATGTTCTATTGATTGAGAAGACTGAACTAGCTGATTGCTGAATTGCTTTGCAGCTCCAGTGTTCCGTTGTGATACTGAGTGGCAGGTAATCTCACAGAAGCCGCGGTTGGGCGGGTTCTCAAAGGGAAAGCGTGGAGAAGGTTGAGGACAGAGACAGCACCCAGTTGTCCCAAACCAGAGTGGCACAGAATGACCAGGCTGGGAAGCAGGAGGAATACGAATGGCAGAGTGTCAAACTGAGACGCCCAGAGGAGCCAGGCGGAGGATGTGAATGTGGGACGTGGCCCCGCCGTGTGAGGGAGGCCATGCCCACCCGAGGAAGTCCGCGGTCTCTTCCAGTTTTTGAGATGAAGCTGGACTCCCAGCGTTTTATTTGAAATCCCGTGGTTTTTACTGACAACCAATTCAGATTATTTTAAAACTCTGCGCAGGTTAAAAAACAACAACAAACGAACAAAAAAGCCCTCCACGCCTCTTGGCCTGCTGGTCTCTACCCTCGCTGGCATGGTGCCCTCAATCCGCGCGTGCCCCAGGACGATGTTGCTGGAAGTTTCCCGTTTCTGTTCACGCCAGTTCTCCGATAGGCCAACCCTTCCCGATACTCCCAGGACTTTGATCATTTATCCCCTCCCTGCCTTCTGTTTTCAGCGTCTCCCTTTATGCTTGTGTCTCCTTCAGTCTCGAAACATGCCAGCGTCTTTCCACATCCTGAAGACGCTGCTTCGTTCTCCTACGGTCCCTGCCAGGGCCTTTCTAGAAAGTTCTTTCTTTTTCCCTTCCACAGATTTCCTAGCAGAATCCACTGCATTCTCCCTGTCTTCCTATTGTAAGCCGGCTTTGCTGCTCAGCTCGCTGTAGTTTAAGGTCTGCCTCCGCGATTCCACTGAAGGTGTTCTGACCAGGGCAGAGGTCTCTGCTGCTGAATTCGTGAGACTGCTCCAACTAGGCTAAACTCACACTCAGAGACCCAAGTGGTGTCCTTTGCTTTAATCTATGACCTGAGAAATGTCGCATCGGTGTTTATGGAACCAAACGGGAAAGTGTCCTCGAGAAAGAAGGACAGTCGGCACCATGGGACTTGCAGACAGATCAAAGTCTGTGTCGGCCACGCGAAGCCCACTGGGTTGTAAGAAAAGGAGATTGCCACTAGCTTTTGAGAGGACAGTTCCGGCAGAGGCAACTGGAAGGTACGCTGCTGTAGTCTGTGAAGAAAAGGGTGGTGATGTGATGACAGACGGTGCCCAGAGGTGGCGCCTTGGACGAGTTTGGCACCGCGGGAAGCGACATCAAGCAGGAGGTATTGGAGACACGCGTGCCCGTCAGAGTCCCTGACGTTAAGGAAATCCTGGCACGTCTGCAGGTAAAGCGGGCAAGCCAGTGGCACGGGAGATACTGGAAATGCTGGGGAAGGACTACCTGAGAGCCGGCCGCCAGGGGCGTCGGGAAGAACCGAGAAGTCAGCCAGTTGAAAGGACTGGTCCGCCTTGACGAGGAAGCGAGGAGTCTCTGAAGTAGGCAGAACGGTTAAAGGCATGAGTCGTCATTCTATCCGGACTCTCGTGGGGGCAGCGGTGATGCAGGAGAGCCCCGGTGTGCGTTTCATCTGTGACACGGAAGCGACGTCCCGTCTCCAGTCACAGGCATAGCAGATCCAGGATTGTTGGCCGCCTTAGCGACATCACTCTGCACTGGCTGTGTCCCTTCCGCTCCCTCTGCACTGATTCCGGGGGGCTCTGGCCTTGGCTGCCCCCCTCTCCTCGTCAGGGAAGTGTCGTCCCCACACCTGAGGTTTAGGCAGCCACCTCAATGCTAGTGACTCCCAATCTGTGTCTGTGACATAGATTTCTCTCCTGTGACCTAGATCTCTCTCCTGAGCCTCCCATCTATGTGCCCAGTATCTTTATGACTAGAACTGGTCATTTCTCCTTAATTCTTTATTCTAATTTTTTATTTTATTAAAAAGATTTTTTTTCTGATGTTTATTTTTGAGACAGGAGTGACAGCACGAGCAGGGGAGGGGCAGAGAGAGAGAGGGAGACACAGAATCGGAAGCAGGATCCAGGTTCTGAGCTGCTAGTACAGAGCTTGAGGCGGGGCTCCAACTCACAAGCCGTGAGATCATGACCTGAGCCGAAGTCAGACGCTCAACCGACTGAGCCGCCCAGGCGCCCCAGTTCCATATCTTAGCTAATGATCGCAGTCATTTTGTGGTTGTCAAGCCAGATCCATGTTTCACCTCCCTCCCCCCTCCTCCCGCAAGTGTATATGTGTATAGTAGATACTTAAAAGAACAGGAACATATCTATATTTCGTGTGTTGGGTTTTCTTTTTCGCTTAGTACCGTCACGATCACTTGCGCATGTCAGTAAATGCCTTTTTACATTCTTAGCTGCCGCCTGGTGTTCCCTCGTACGCGCCTACTCTGGTCTGCCGCCTTGTTGAAAACCGTTTCCTTCTTTCTGTTGTGCACAGCACTGAACATGTCTGTACATGCACTTTTTATTTCCTTAGATTTACCGCTCAGAACTGAGAGGAGGACCGAGGAGTGGGACATTTGAAAAGCTTTTAATACCTATTGCCAAGTTGGCCTTCTGGAAAAATCGTACCAGCAGTATACGGTGCACTCATTGCCTGTACCTTTGCTAGGATCGGGTGTTATATTTCATTTTTGCTGATTTAATAAATTCCATCTGAGCCTCCGAGCCCAGCCCCCATCCCTCTCCCCAACCACCCCCACCCCGTGTCCTTCTGGGTAGCTCCCCAACTCACATGTCACTTGGGACACACGTCACCTGGGAGGCGGAGGGGAAGGTGACGCCAGGTTTCCCATGGGGACAGGTCTCAGTCTTAGGCTCTGGCCCCACTTCTGCTGCTCTTGTGCACAGAGCTAGCTTTCCGACCACCCTTCAGTGTCTTCCCTAATCTCCCTCTTTTCCTAACTTCCTGCCTCCGGAGGTGGTGGTTTTCTCCCTGCGGTTGGGGCTGATCCCCCAGGGGCACAGCTGTCCTCCCCCCATCTCTGGAAGCTTCGTCTCCCATCAGCATCGGCTCCCAGGAACAGTGTTTCTGCCTTCCATTTTCCAGCAAGCAAACCTACTCAAATCTGTCCTGTACAGGGGAAGACAGTTCCGTCACCCCGTTACCCTCTCAAACTGCCACTTTGTCTCCGCCTTCCTTTGCCATCAAACTTCTCCCAAGGTCCCGAGAGTAATTAGGAAGAGTGTTCGTCCTCATTTGCCTCTCTTGGTTCCAGCCCCTTCTTCTCTGCTGAAACCGCAGTCTTCAGGGTCCCCAGTGACCTCAAAGCTGGTTGGAAGGCCAAGTCGCCCCCCTCCCTTCAGTCAGCTGGTGACACAGGCCACGCCCTCGATGCCCTGGGAGGCTGTCTCCCCTGTCCCCGCTCTCCCCTCTCGGGACAGTGCCTGTGATGCTGCGTGCCCTCCAGAGGTCTGCAGGCCCTCACCCCGTCTCCCCTCCCTCGCTCTCCTTCTCTCTTGGGTTTTCTCGCCTCTTTCTGGGGTACCAGGGGTCTCCTTTGCACCGATGACTCACAGGCTCTCCGGGATGCCAGACCCCGGGTTTTATAGTCACCTGCTAGGCCGCTCCACCCGGATGTGACTGCGCGGATCCCACGGGTTAGCCACCAGGCCCTGCCCACTGCTCCCCCGCCATCCGAGAGCTGCCCTGTGGCACATCCCTGCAGCGTGCCAGGTGCTTTCCGTAGGCATCGAATCAGGCTCTCCCACAACCACGCGAGGCTGCCTGACTGCTCCCGTCCCGGTTGTGAGGTCTCTAGTAGACGGTGGCTCGTGCTGGAGCCACGGTGTGGCGTTTGCCCACGTAATCTCTTCCTGCTCCCCTGTGCCAGCGGCGGCCGCTCTCCAGCCCCCACCCCCGTCCCTGGGAGTGTTCCCTGTGCGCCCACCCAGTACATGTCGACCCACTGCACGCAAGCGTGCGTCCCTTTTGCCTGAAACCAGCAAAGCCCTCTTCCACTGTCCCTGACAGATTTCATTCTAAAGCACAATTTTAAATAAACCGCTACAAGCGAAGAGCCTAAATAGTTTTGGTGCCGGACACGGTTCTCGCCTGCAAGGCCCCCACTCCCGTGCCAGCTTTTCGCCCTCTGGGGGCCCGTCGTGCGCGTGTGCTCCGCCCGGCCGAGAGCGCGAGCCCTGGACGTGCCCCCCACCCTGCCGCCCAGCCCAGCCCCTCCGACCCTCTCCTTCCCATCCTGTCCTCACCCTCCGGTGAGGAGGACACTGCCCAGCATGGCCACTGGGAGGAGCCCTTGTGCCACAGGCGCGCCCGCAGGACAGAGCTGTGCGACTGCGTGCTGCCGTCTGGCGAGGCCACCACAGTCCCCGTCCCTCCCCGCCCAGCAAGTATGGGGCCCTCTGCGTCTCCGTTTCCATGCTCTTCTTCCAGACGGCCTGCTCTAGACGAGCGGACCCTGGATGGGAGCCAGGGGGCCCAAGACCGCCGCCCCAGCTTGGCCACCGGTTGGCTAACAGCTCGACTTTTGTCACCTGTGAATCAGGGGCGCTAAGCCCCGCCCTGTGAGCCTAACAAGAACCGGCCTGACGCTATTTACCAGCTACCAAGTGCCCCAAGGTTATACCTTCGTCTGATCTCAGATGGTGTCATTCCCCCCTCCCGAGCACCCTGGGCCTCCGGCTGGGAGCTCACCATCTGTGAGGGGTTCCCGCCTCCCTCCCACCTCTGCTAACAGAAAGGGATGAGCGGGAGGCGCAGCGAGGGGGCTGGAATGGACGTGACCCAGAACATCTGGAGAAAGGGCAGAGCGGGAGCCGCAGGAAAGGACAGGCGTGGAAAGGAGCTGGGGAGGCGGTGGCCAGGTCCAGAGCCAGAGGGAAGGCTCCTCGTAGTTTTGCTAAAACACTAAGTGAGTTAAAGGGAACGTATGCACGAATCTGAGCGAGTGAATGAAATGCCCCTCCCCGGGGGGGGGGGGGGGGGGGAGGGATTGGAAGGCTTGGGGACACTAGGTGGCAGCACAGGGCAGCAAACCAGGGGCGAGTGCCTTCCGACCGCGGGAGCCGGAGCTCCCCACTTTAGGCACCGCGGCCCCTTCTCCACAGGTGTTCTTGCAAATGAGGACACCCTCAGTGGCGAGGACACCAAGGTGGGCGGGGAGGAGAGGCCCGGGGGGGAGCCAGGTGTTTGTCGTCTGGGGTTGTTTTCAAAAGGCCCCCTGAGGATTAGAGTTTCCAACTTTCAAAAGGATACCAAAAAGAGGGGGAGTTTGGAACGAGGTATGGGGAATCTGGATTAGGGTTAGGGGGATTGGGATAGGATTCCCCGACCCAACTGGTTGGGAAAAGAACTGTTGCAGGAATCTTTTCTTTTCTTTTTAATGTAGGAATGGTCCTACCTCATCCATTCCTGCCCTCGGGACACCTCAGACCCCTCTCCTCCAGTTTCCTCATAGACGGAGAGCCCCTAACCTTTCTCCGCAGAGCAAAAGCAAAGCAGAAATCAGGCATGTAGCTCACAGAAGCTCTCCATCCTACCCTTCCATCGAGTTTGGGTTCTTTGCTACAGGATAGAAGGCTCCGCCCAAACCCAGGGACCACTGAGGACACCCCCCCCCCCCCCCCGCCCCGTCAGCCAGGAAGCCCTGAAAAGCTCAGCGTGGCACAAAGCCTCGGTTTGCCGCCGAGCCACCACCATGCAGGTGTCCTGTGTCTCGAATATGGCCCCAGCGGAAGATGCCGCCTCCGCCGCGGCCTCGCTCTGCTTGCGTTTGTAATTGCGAGACAAAATCTCCCTTTCTGGATCATTTCCCCTCCCCTGCTTGCCCAGTTCAACCTCCTGTTTTAGCAGCCAGCCACGGACACGCAGACCCAGCCCCGCCTCTCACCCTGTCTCCTCTGCCTACGGGCTATGACCCCCTGCTTCTTCCCATGCTCTTCCTGTGACTGAACCCCTGTAACACTTACTGTCTCTACAGTAATGCACAGAAAGCACCTGAGACGCCATTCAGCAAATGTCAATGATGGTCGTTGCGTTGCTAATTCTAACTTTACAAGAACTCGGTTTATAAGGATTTCCACATGCACTGTCGAACTCACCCGTCCACTCGTGCATCCATTCAACAAATTTTATCAAACACCTGCTAAATGCCTGTCGCTCTTCTGGGCGTTCAAGAGAGAAAAGAACCCAATGGGCATGATCCCTGCCTTCACAGAACCTCCAAGGAAGCTTGTGGTTTTCAACATCAGCTGACACCTGCGGAGTATTGAGAGGAGATGTTAGAAACTGGCTAATCCAGGCACTTGCCCCGGACAGAAATTCCTTCCACATCACTCACGGGTGGCCATTCTTGACCAAACATTCTCTAGATTTGGTCTTTTCCAGCTATTTGGGCAGTCTTCCTCATGCCAAACCTAATTGGCTTCCTCACTGGCATCTCTGATCCTTCCTGCACCCTTAACTAAGTTGCGCCCCTTCGGCGGGGACCCCCAGGGCGAGCAGCGAGAGACCACAGCCCGTCTCCAGCAGTGTCTTCGTGAAGCTTCTCTTTTGAGGAGTTAGATCCTCTTTTTCAGGAGTCACGTGGGGTGTCTCCCGCTTCCGCAGATGCTTACATATCATCTGACCTGCCCCTCCCTGGCTTGCTGTGCGGAAACAGGTGAGCATCCCCCCACCCCCCACCCCATCCCCGCACTCCACCCCGCACTCCCAAGGTCGCACCGCTCACTCGGCCGACCCTCCAGGCTTTGGCTGACCCTCTTCTCTTGGCTTGTATGCCAGCAGCTCACTTGAGGTGAGCCTGCTCCAAAGTATCGTGACGGGTTTTTCATCTTTCTTGATCCGGACGTGATTCCCCCCTAACAGAGCCGAGGATGGCTTCGGCTTCCCAGGTCCGTGATGTTGCTGGCTCATAACGAGCTCGTGTTTACCCGAATGTCCAGGGCTTACTGGTACACATCATCGCC